GTTGGAGGTTCACCTTCCAGTCAGATCTACAGTCAGAGCTCTGATACAACAGCTCAGATCAAAGTCCAGACCTGAATCCAAAAGAAAATGAGGAACAGAAAACACTGAAGCGTGATTATAGTTTCAGAATACTCCGAGGGTGTGAATACTTTTCCCCAGCTGTCAGAGCTGTCATTCATGAGCCAATAATTAAACCCTCCCGTTTTATTCAGGCCTCCATTTTGACAGCTTCACCGCATTTTTGTTCCTTTATGCATAATGAGCGCCGCGTTCCACAGGAACACAAAGGCAGCCGCTCTATAAATGGAGACGCAATCAACGTGTTTTCAAAATGTCTTCAAGGCGACATTTCCACCGACTTAATACGGAGGAGGGAGAAAAAAATAAATAAAATAAAAACATGCAGAGACTTGCAGCTGAGTGCAGTCACACAGTATACCCAGCCTGCCTTCTGGCATCCAGTCAGCCCCTCTCCTCCACTTTTCCTTCTACATATACATTTACACATTCGCAGGCGTAGGACCACCGTGGCCCCCTGACTCGCCTCAGGGGACGGAACGTGTTCAACGTTTGCTGCGTTTATCCATAATAACACGTAGAAAAGTTAATGTCTCCCACAGGAAGGCCCCCGCCCAGCTCCAGGCGGGCTCAGTCACAACGCAGCACGCCCAAGAATCCTCGACCCGAGAGCGCGTCACGACTCTCGACATCGATATATACATCCTCCACGTCGGGCTCTTGTGGCACGGCTAAAATTAGAGCCTGGGAAAAAAAAAAAAAGCTGCTTGTATTGACACCAGCAAATCAATGTAGCAAGAGCTGCTGTACAAGACAGAGGAGGAAGAGGAGGAGGATGATGGGGGGTGCCAACGTAAAGACCCGACCCCTGCAGAGGAGGAAATAATGCAGCTTAAGGGAGGAATGAGAAGGGCAGCCGGGTTCTGCTGACAAGTTAAACGCTCCCAAAAATCTAACTGGATCGGCGTCAAAGCAAAGGTGTTTGATGTAGTCTTTTATTAATCTTTTAAAAATTATTGTTCATCTTTAGTTTTGTTTTAATTAAAAAAAGGAAGCTTCTGTATTTAATTAGGACAATATTATCAAAGTAAAATCTTAGAATTAGGCCTGTTATGATTAATTTTACTTGGTGATAAACGACAACATTGTTTTGAGATCATTTAAGGGAGATAATGGCATGATAATATAAGTTCACCTTCATTAAATTCTAATGAACACTGAAACCGGAAGACATTTAAAAATCCAGAATAAATAAACAAAAACAGAAACAATAAAATCAATTCTAAAGTCTCTGAACAAAAATAATTATAACATTTTAAAAAATGACTATTTGAGACTAATTCAGCAGATTGAAGACCAGTTTTGATGCAAATGAGAAAAAGAGAAACGATAATGAAAATTTAAATTATTTAACAGGTTTTAATTTACCATGTGATCAGCTGATTTATTGTTTACTGTGACAGGTCTACCTACAGTAGAAGATATTTACTATAATACCAATTATTGTCGCTTTGCATTCCACATCTATCCAGGAACTTTCACTCAAAAAAACAAAAAAAAAAGCTGACTTGGCTGCACCTAAAAGTGCTTTTAATTAATTTAATAAATGTGTCTAAATTCAGCAAGCATCTTCAAAGGAAAAGGCTGCTATATTTCGATTTTATTGGTCAGAAATGACTGCATTGAGAAATTTTGCACATTCTCTAAAAGTATCCATTAGAAAAAAAATGGAACCACTTTGATTTCTGAAAAACCCTTTTAAAGTTTTGTATAATTTACACATCCCTCTCCAACAACAAACAGCCTACTTTGAGTATTGTTGAGTAGGTACAGCAAGGCCCTCTCCTGCTCTTCATAATGTGCAGTCTAAAGCAGAATGAGCGATGGGACGGGCGGATGGCGCCCAGGACCCGATCGTACAGCCGTGTGATAATCAGGATGTAGTGTGAAGCGCTCCGAAGGAAGCAGGAAATGACTAACACGTGTACCGTGATAGATTATGAACACTGAACCTTTCAGGCTAATGGGCCTAATTAACTCCTCGCCATGTCATATGATGAGTGGAGTTTCATGCCTTGTTCCCAGCTAGGTGCGGAGCAGAATCCTCCCTTATCCAAAACCAAACAGCTGCGTTTGTTTTATTCGGTTTTTTTTTGTTTGTTTTTTTAAATCATCTCCTCTCTGAAGCTGAAACCATTTCAAATGTGTCCCAACTTGTTTCACTAATATTTAATCAGCGCTCGTGCTTCAAGGCTGTACTTGCATCCAGCAGAGCTTTCTCATTTGTCAAAATGTAACTACGTGACCTACATAGGCCTCGCAGGAACTACGGATGATCTGCGTGATCCGTTTTAATGACGCTCGCACATTAAAACCCCCCTACACCCCTCCACGGCGAGCCGCTCCGGCTACTGGAACCGTTTCTACTGACAGAAATCATCTCCAGAGAAGATGAAATCCATAATGCAGCCGGACTGCCGCGGCTTAAAGAGCAGCACCTCTTCATACGTCTAAATGTTCAACTCACTACACTGGATTCACCGCATCGCTAAAGTTTACATGCTTTTTAACGTGTTGTCATCTTTAACAGTTTACACTGGACGGGTTTATATCGAAGCACATTCTTGAGTTCTGGGCTGTTCAAACAGATTTAGTAAAAATAAATAAATAAAACAGCAAGCAGTAAATACTTTGTTCTCAAATAAAAAGGTTGGATCTAAAATTAGTAGACAGATTGTGCAGCTGCAAATTCAATATAGGAGAGCTTTAACAGGGCTGCCAATAATTGTATAAGTGGTAGTTTGTCCATCATCATCAAGTGGATATAATTAAAGCAAGGGAGAAAAAAAAAAGCCAAAGCCTGTCTGTTGCAGCATCTAAAATGGGAAGTTATTACAAAAACTAAAGTGACTTTTTGCATCTTAAATGGGGCAGTAATATGTATTTTCTAGGCACATGAACATTTTATGACAATAATATAACTGTCACCTTCAGTTGTTATCAAATATGACTTGCAAAAATATTACTTCATGATTTAGAGCCCTGAAATTGGGTCTCCGTCTCTGAAATCTCATTCTCTTTCTGAAACTCCGCCTTCAGGAAGTCATCACAACATGGCTCCTTTATTAATCCTTTAACAACATTTCTACCAGTGTTTCACTGAGATGAGCTCCTACAATGAGCTCAGCAGATGTGCTGTTCTACCAGGTGTTTGCCAATTGCTGCTGGCTAGTCTGAAGGAGCTGAGTTGGTGCTGCTCTGTGAGGCAGAAGCTCAGAAACAGCAGCTAAGAGGAGAAGCTTTGTCCTTGAAGGCGGGGCTAGCTCCACATGGGCGTTTTGCACAGCTAAGTGGTTGCCATGGAGATCAAAGGATTTCTCAAACATTCATGAAAGAATCAAAGCAACACTGCATGCATGTTTTTGATTATGTGAAGATCAAAAAAGGTTTACTTTACATAATACTGCCCCTTTTAAATCAGAGGAGCAGTAAAAAGGTCTGTCAGATGTTCATTTAAGCTCTGAGAACAGACAGGATGTCATTTCACATTTCTGCTGTTTTTCCCATGTATGAGGGGGGAAAAAGGCATGATTCATAATGATATACCATCTGTAAAGTAAAAAAAATCATATTGGGACATACCTAATAAAAAGGCCTCTCAGAGACTGTGCAGTCTGATGCACGGTGTCTCTTGTAGGAAGGCCAAAAATAAATGCTTCTATAATTCTAGAAAGAAAAAAAAATCAATATTGGCTTTAAAAAGAAAGCGAATAAAAAATGCAAGAAAAAAAAGAGCTAAACCTCTGATCGTTGCGTTTCTATGGCTCTACATTCAGACACCTCCAGACAGAACTGGTGTGATGCTGAAGCGACGTTTTACTGAACACGTTGTCTTGGCTTTGAAAAGAAATAATGGTGCTCCGACATCAGCTGCACTTCAACAACCCTGAGAGAAAATGTGCTTCTCTTCTTTTTCATCATGAACCTTCAAGCTTAAAAAAAAGAGCCATCAATGTCCCGCTATTCATGATGAAAATGCACCGAGAGTAAAAGCAAAAATAATGAAAACTCAACAGAAAGGTATTTAAAGCTGCTCTCAGAAGCACTTTATGTGTTCATCTGCTTTATTCTATCAAGGTGTGAGAGAAAAAGTTTGCAAAGTAAACAGTTTGAGACCAAATCCCACCACCCCCACATCCAGCTGCCACTACCACTCACCTCATCAGCTCCTCCACCTTGTCATCCACGTCCAGGTCTTCTTCTGCAGCTTCGAAGCCGAACGCCCTGGACGCCGCCGCGCTGTTCACCGGGTAGCGAGGCGGGGACAGCTTCCCGTTGGGTGTGGCCGCCAGGCTGTCCCGCCCGTTCTGCGACAGCGCCACCAGCGCCACGGGCGACGGCAGCACGGCTGAGGGCGGTGGCGGCCCCGGGGGCGGGGACGTGTCGTAGCTGTTGCTGGGCGACGGGGACAGCCCCCCGCCGCTGTTGTTGAACTGCGTTTGCGTGGCTGTGGAGATTTTGGAGGTGGTGGACGAGGCGACGGCGGCGGCGACGACGAGGGAGGAGGAGGAGGAGTGGTCGCCGCCTTCGCCGCCGTTGCACGTCGCCGAGGAGGAAGAGGTGGTGGTGGTTGTTGCCGAGGCAGTGGCGTTATTGTTGAAGGATGTGGCGGTTGTTTTGGCGACGGAGCTGTTGGCCCCGCCTACGAGGTAGGTGGACGAGGAGGAGGAGGAAGAGGTGCGGCGGCCGAACTTGTCGCCGTGCTCCCGGTCCAGCCGGTCCAGAGTGTCGAGCGCGTGCAGGATCTCCTGCTTCGTCATGCCGGTGCGACGCAGCCGCTGCAGCAGGTCTATCTGCTCGATGGTGAAGCGCGGCTCCTCGCTGAAGTCGGACATCCTGCTGCTGCTGCTGGGCAGGAAGAGACAAACAGGAAGCACAGGCGGGAAGTTCAGGAAACTCACAGGCTGACAACGTGGGAGCACACAGGATGTCAGAGGATAAGAAACAGTCGCATCATGGGGAGAAAAAAAAAAACGATGGGAGGAGTTTGAGGAATGATATGTAAAAAGGAAAATTACAAGGAGGAAAAAAAAACAGCAAGAGTTGATAAGAAAAGAGAGCAAGATAAAGAAGTGTGAAAGAAAAAGAAAAGGGAGGGGCAAGGCAGAGGGGGAAAAAAAAAATAAATCAGCTATTTTTGGGAAGCGGCAGGCAACACGCGCAGCCTGCCAGAGTCACCTTGACAGCTGATGCTATCTTAACATTCAGACTGTCGTTCTTTAAGAGCTGCTCCATAATCCCCGCGCGCAGCGCTGCGCCGCGCCACCACCCACGCTGGATGCTTTTCATAAGCAATTTGCTGGACTCCAAATCAATGCCTCTGGAAACGGACTGCGGCAGAATTTTTTTTATGTTTTTTTTTGCCGTGTTCGGCGGCGGCCCAGCCTGCGTTGACATGACGACTGCTTTAAAAAAGAAAAAAAAAAAAAAAGGGGTCACCAGCTCCTCACTACAGTTCTGTTACTGTGGAGAGTGGGAAAGCGACGGGAAGATGTCGTTAGTCATCTTGGAGGTCAAAAATACAGGAAGGGTGCAGCTGAAGTATTCACACCCGTTTTTTTGTTGGAACTGGATTTTACAAACCACAACCAAGTTCTGCACACTTAGAAAGTGAAAGGAAAAGAAATACATTGTTCCTTATTCTTTACTTATTAAATCTGGAAATGATTTAAGAGTTTGAATTCCACCCCCTTTACTCAGATGCCCGTAAATAAAACCAGCTGCCTTAGAAAAAGTTTCCCACCAACACAACCTAAACCAACAAGCCTAGAGAGGAGCACATCAACCCTAAATCAGATTTTTTTTCTAATATTCAACCCACCGCAAACTTTTCACAGCAATTTGAACAGACCAACTCCAAACCTTTCACCAACAAAACACACCAGATAAATAAAATCAGATTATTGCCATTTTTTGAAACGCTTGCGGTCTTAACGGTTATGTTGCATTTATTCCCACGTAAATCACTTTAGTGTCATTTAAGTCAGATGTGCGTCCTAATTCTGCACCAGAAGAAACCAGGCGCGGCAAATTGGGATGCAAACAACAGCTGAAAAGAATAATTGTGACTGGGCTTGTCACAATGAGCAATAAAATTAATCACATGATAAATTAAAAATAAGCTCAATCATTTTTATTGGCATGTTTTATCATTTTTCTCTTTCTACCAAAAACTGGAAGACAAAAGTCTTTGGTCTCGACTCGCCTTTTGTGTTTACATAGACTTCATAATTTTAGTTGTTTAATCTGTTTTGTTTATTTTGGATAATCAAATTGTTTTCTTATTCCAGTGTTAAATGTTTATCGGAATTTCAAATTTATTGATTTCTGAGAATGTGTTCTTGCTTTATTACGCCATTATCATCACATGATTTGAAAATGGGCTCAAAACAATATTATTGTTTATCATAATAACTTCTGGCACATTTTATCATCCAGAAAAATTCATTATTGTGACAGGCCTAAGTCTGAACTTATGAAGTCTGTCAGTGAAGCGCATCACATCACAATCCCCCCTCTCATAGCTCTACCAATCTGATTTCCCTACATTAGTTGCAGTCAAAGCTCCATAAAAGGCCGTTGCTATTGGTTGTTCTTCTTTTGTCTCATGATCTTGTGACAATCCTGTCGACTCCTTTTCCTGAATAAACTTTAAAACTGATCCCATATGCTCTGCTGCGTGATGTCAACGTTCTTCTGTGCATGCAAGTCGGTTGGGCTGCAGAGCTCCACAGCTCAGGTGGAATAATATGTTGACGGGACTACAAGGTGCTTTCTCTCTGAACTCGGAGTTTCAGAATTCCCAGATGGAAATACGACAAAAAAAATGTTTTTGATAAGAATAAAAACTTCTTCCAACTGTGAAACTAATCTCAGTATTAAATATGGCTAGTGTATATATGATAAGCAGTGAACGTCTCAGGGATAAATTATGAATGGAGGACTCCTTACAGTTTATAGCTCATTAAAACAATTTCCCATATAGTTCTGTGTTGAGTGTTATATGGAAAATCACCTATTAGTGAAAGTTCCTCTAATGCTTGAACGAAGAATATGGACAGAAATTGATTTTCTGGTGTGTTTGCATTGCAAACACTGGTTAGCAAGAGCTTCCATACAAACACAGAACACAATGTTGGATCAAAGCATGAAACATCCTTTTCTTTAGCTTAGAAATCAAGCACTTTGCTGTCTGAGGGGTTCTGTTCTGCTAAATAAATTCACAAAAATGTCCCACAAACAAACCTGAGGATTTTGAATAAATGTGCGCTCTGATTAAGCATTAACCAAGTTAAGCATTCACTGGTTTTGCTAGTCAAAACGATGTCCAGTAGAAGGAAAAACAAAAAAAAAACAAAAAGAAAAAGTCACAGGAAAATATCGGATCAGATTGGACCCCGTCAGGAATGCAGGGTTCAATTTTTTTCTTCTTTGTTTTTTTTTTAAAATAAATTGTCCACTTCTGTTCCACTGTAAACGATTTAAATGTATGACTCTGATAAATAACATCTCCAAACAGGAGATCCCTCAGAGTATTTGGTTTGATTGTGAGTCAGGTCACTGAAACATGGATCAAGACATCAATCAATAGAACCAGGCAGCAATTTGAGTCTTCATTAACTGATCAATAATGAAATTATAGGAGTGATTCATGCATTTTTATGATTAGCCATCTTCAGAATTCAATAATAATGCCAAGCAATCTTCATAAATAAATTGGTACAAAGTGAGTACATGGGTACAAAATAGCTGTTTTGGCAAATCCTAAATCTAAATGGCAAAATGTATGGGAGGGATGAAAAAGTTATTTTTAATCTGAATTTAGTTTTCCCAGACATTTATTTTTACACGTTTTTATGCAGTGGAGATGATGCATAAAATATGTCTAAAGATAATATTTCTAAAAATATGTACATTATATTGAAATTATAATTATATCTTCATGTTATAATATCATAATATAAGCTCCTTAGACATTTCTTTTTAGCAAAATTCTTGGTTCACTTTGAGATATTTCTTTTAATCTGTTTTTTATTCATTTAACTGGATTTATCCATTGTAAATGCTCATTTTGTTTTGGTATCCCTTTGATAAATATATAAAAAGGGCATTATAGGTAAAATCCATTATTGTTACAAAAATGTTAAGCTGCTTTCCAACTTGCAACTTCTGATTCAGTGTTATCACAGTTTAAGAAAAACATGGCTCCATTTCCTAATTTTAACTTAAAAATAAAATAAAAAAAACTGGTAAACATCAGCTGGTTTCCACTGCATGATTCCAAAGGGTGATGTTTTAGTTTTATTTGTGGAAGGACAACAAAAGTGTTTTTCCAAGTATTGGGATCACCTTAACTTGTTAAGTGGCATTTATTATTATTATTTTTAAACTAACAACTGGTCACATGAGGTTTTCTTTTTTTGTAATGTTCCACTTTTGAGTATATGTACCTACATTGAACAGCAACATAAAGAAAAGTAAAGAAGTTCCAATTATGGCTTTTGGTTTGTCAACCCAAAACCAGTGGGCACCATTTTAACTCCTTAACCCTCTTCCTAAACTTCCTAGATACGCCCCTGTTAGTAATGGATAATAATGCTAACTTCAGCGAAAAATAATCAGAGGTTCAGGTTTCTGACACATAACATACAAGCTACGTCAACCGTACGCACCTTGTCTTCCTCCGGTTCTGTCCGAACCGACCTCCTCGGTTCGTGGTGCCCGTTCCATCCATGTGTTTTTGTTTTGCTGACTATGTGGCCCGCAGTGACAGCGCCAATGTGTCGCTCTGAACAGCGGAGCTGCAGGCACGCCGCCCCCGGCGTTGATGCCAGTTTTCACGCCCTTTGCCCAAAAAGCTAACGACGAGTGAATGTTTTTCCGTACCAAAATGAGCCACGAACAGCACAAACATCATATCAGACACATTGCAACACGTTTTGCACGTCCGACTTTACTTCATTAATGCGGTCCCGTTTCTGAATTGGTCCTGACAACAGTCCACTGGCACCACAGAAGCCGCCAGCCAACTCAACCCGGGTTATTTCGGTCGCAGAGAGCCTTTGAAGTGATTAGCATAATGTGCTAGCCGTGCCAAAGCCGCTCCTAGCTGCCTTTAGTTAGCCGCCATCGCTGGCTAGCGAGCGTTTCATATTAATAACATCACTTTCAGTGTTGGAGACAGTAAAGTACATGACTTACCTCGGTTCAAATAGCCCACTTCACCATTTAACTTTAAAAGTAACGCACAAGTCAAGCGGTGTCTTTTACTGCTGCCGAATTATAACGCAGTTTGATGGCAGTGCCCTGCACGACCCTTTTCCAAGGATTTCTAATCAGAGGCGAATTATTTGCCTCTCCGCTTTGTCTGTCTGACAACAGCCATATTGACAACTAACACCTTCGAGGAGCGCAGAGGGAACTGTAGTTTTACTCCCACAAAGGCCTTTATAACACGCGGCGGCGTTCTCCAGGCGAAAGACTACAAATCCCGGAAAGGAGAGCGAGGTGGAGCTGAGGGCTCGCGGATCTACAGCTGTCACATCAGAAGCAGAGGCGGTGCGGCTTTTAATGCAACCGACAGCAGGCACCAAGCAGCGCCAGGCAGCCAGGAGGAAAGCTTCTGGGAATGAAAACAGCATCATATACTCCACAAAAAATGTTCTGTTGCTTAAAAATGTAGGAAGGTCTTCTTGTCCGTACATTAAAAAAAAGGTGAATTACATTTAATATTTTAGTGAAGTGGTATAAAATTGAAGTTTGCTATCAAAAGAGAAGACAGTAACACAGACTAATTAGAGATGAGGTGAAAGCATACAACCACTGTTTCGTGGTTCTGAGCACCCCTGTAATGTCAGTGTTTGATACAGCCCTTATGAAAGAGTATTAGTGATTATATCCAGAAAACAAATCACTGCCTTTATGCACTAAACCTCCACCAGGAGCTAAAATAAATAACTATAAAAAATGTTTTTATATATTTGATCCAAAAGAATGTTTCATTATTTGATTTTGTTCTGGTCACTCCCTTTGCTATTTTATATGGAAAAATCTGGAGCAGGATTACCGTGATTGGAGTAGAAGGTTTCAGAGAAAACAACAAAAAAAAAAAAAAAGAAAGAAAGCTCTGGGGCAGAGCTGCATCTCGAAGGCAGGGCTAGATCCACCAAGGCGTTTTACACTGAATGGTTGCCATAGAGGCTAGAGGATTTCTCTAACATGCATGAAAGAATAAAAGCAACCTTCCAAATGTTTTGAAACATATATTTTAGTTTTGTTATGGATGTGAAAAGACCAGGTTGTTGACCCAGCTGTTCAGCAGTTAGACATATGGAATTAAACAAGGTTTAATTCTGGAATGTGCAGAAACCAGGTGGCTAACTTAGTATGCAAATAAATCGGACACTTCTACTGAAAAACAGAGGTCACTCATGTTAACCATTAATATTTTTCAGCCTGTGCCTGTTTTGAATTTGAGGAGCTGGTGCAGTTGCATTTTATTGTTCTGTTCTCTGCCCTGCAGGCAAGCAAGCTTTAACTCCATTTGGTTTTCTTATTTAGCTCTAAGTTACCCACTTTATATCAAAGTTCATCAAAAACATTTAATTTGAAAATAGGCATCAACATAACTGCAAGAAGACATACATGGAAATGGGCTTGATGTAAATGTATAGCTAGTTATCACTAACACCTAAAGAAAGTGGCCAGTTATTAGATTTATACGGTCAAATACTTTCTCCACTATGTGGAAAAAGTATTTTTTGAAAGCTGTTTTTTTTTCTCTCTCTCTCTTTTTTTTTTTTTTTACTTTGTATATTGACATTGATCGTGTTTTGTAAATGTGAGGTATGACAAAAACAAAGAAGAAATCTTTAAGGGGAAAACCCCCAAATAAATCTCGTCACTGAATTTTGTTAATGTTAATAATTTGCAATACAAATCCGAACTGCAGTCTTGTGGTTATACCGCCCCCATGTGTCCACAAGTTGAAAGAAACCGCTCTACCACCAAGCTTGTACGCAATCTTCCATGTGACTTCTTAAATTGCTAGTTTACAGATTTTACATGTAACTTGTTCATTCAAATCATTAACAGACATTTAAATTCAAATGCCAATTGTAAAATAAAGCATTTTGTCTTTGAGCTGAGACGTATTTACTTCTGAAGTAGAAGTACGCTCTCTAAAATCTGGGGGGAAAAATGCTCAAAACTGGGCAGACAGGGTTACTTTTCTAAATTAAATGAGTTATTTTTAGTCACTTCCATTCATTTACAGTTTTTTATTTTGCTTAGAGTTTTTTCTTTAGGTTTTCAATACGGCGAAGAGCTTTGAAAGGCATGTAGCGATTGGCTCGAGATCAGGACAACCACGTCTTGCGCGTGCTCTACCAACTAACCCTTTATAGTTTTAAATGAACATTAATTATATAGCCAAAAATGAAATAATGCCACAAAATAAATCACTTTTCTGATCTCCAGGATGCAATAAGGTAAACTACCCCCTTTTCTAGTACCCTTCAATCCTCCCTGGGCTGCACTGCTGTTTCCAAGTGCAGCTCAGACCTCAGTGCGCAGCTGCCCACCCAACATGGTTTGAAGATTGAACTTAAGCATCCGGCAATAACTCCATCTGGACGACCAGGAATACTTTTCCCCATCCCAGTTCTGGCACCGTCCCTGCGTTCGGCTTTCGGAGCCCGTGGCAGTCCGTGTGAGTATGTAGTTCGGCGGTGAAAGGAGCCGCTGTTCAGCCAGCAGCCAGCTGTTTTGGTCAGCGGTTAGCTGGCTAGCAGAGTCACTCAGCTAACATAACCATAGCTAGCGAGGTGGGGGTGAATTCAAGCTCCATGTTGTTGTTTTTTTAAAGCTGAAATGGCGCTAATATTCAGAGCTGGGTGATAGGAATGTGTTTCTGAATGTTGTCCCAGGTTCCTGTGAGCTTCAGAGGAAACGAGCCAGGCTAGCTTCGACTGGGTCAGCTGTGATTTGACATAAGGCCGAAGCTACAATGATAACATCATAACTGGCTCAAATGGATAGAAAACAATACTCTAGGCTAAAAAAAAGATAGCCAACTTCCTGAATCTAAAGCCTACTTATGTAAAAAAAAATTTAATCAGGTGCTGCTGAGTTAACTTTTAACTTTAAGAATAATACTGGTTCACAATGCGTATTAAATGTTCACTTTAAGGCTAAAGCCACATATAAACAAAAATGTATGAGGCTCATTGTGTGTTTGGACACCTGCCTGTGGCAGCAAGTTATTTCCAGAAAAACTAATTTTATCACCTGGATTTACCACAACTCTTTTAATTTATGTTCACTTTCTGAATTTTAGCTACTTTAACTGGATTTTTTTTTTTATCATTTAGTTTTTGTGATAAGTTTGTAATGAACTTATCCTCATCATATAGCTCTCCAGCCACAATTCAGAAAACTTGGAAGTGAAAAACAAAGTAAATTGTTTATATGTCCTAATATTTTTGTTGCGTTATTCCAGCTCAGTTAGATGGTCTTATTATAAGAATCTGGAGACATTTCCAAGTTTAGCTGAGCCTGTTAGAAGAGATATTAAAACCAGATTTTCTGGGTTATTTTCCAACTTTCTGACCTCCTTTTGTAACCTGATTCACTAACTCTAATTTTCAGAAGAAGTAAAATGCTTGAAATGGTAACGTGCCATAATATGTTTTGCAGGTTATTTTAAAGAGGTAGCGAATACTCCTGTCACAATAATTAATCGCATGACCAATTAAAATGTGCTCAATCATTTCCATTCTAATGATTAATACTTCTTGATGGGAGATTTTGTTTACAGAGACTTCTTAATCCATTTTATTTATTGTTTCGATAAATAAAACAAAAAATTTACAGTTTTTGTAAACAGAACAAAAACAGTAAATATTTTTGTTCTATTTACAGTTTTTTTTTCTGTCATTTAAAACCATTCTTTACAAAATTAAAGTTTATTGATCTCTGATGGGGTGAACTTGCAGTGTTAGGCCTTTTATCAATACTTGAAAATGGTCTCAAAACAACAGTATTACTGTTTATCGCAACAACTACTGGGGCAACTTATTGTACAGCACATTTTTAATCATGACAGAAACATATTAATGCGTCAAAGCATAGACCCCTTCATTTTGTAATAAATCAAAGTAGGTGCTGCTGGTTCTTGCACTTATAGCTGTTGGAATACTAAGTGTTTATTCCTTAATAAAAAGAGGAAACACATTCCTGTTTTTCCAGTATCTGACCTGCGATCAAAAGAAAACTGTCTAGACAATTGATTGGTACATGTCTAACTTAACATTTAGTTTTTGCTTTTCTCTCATCAGGATTCCTCAGAAGCTGCCAGGTGAAGTCATCCTATTGCCACAGGGCCAAAAAAAAACCCAAACAAAAACAACCCCACAGATCCTTCCGAGAATTCACAGTAAGTAAACAAAAACACGCCTCGATTGTTAATTTCACGCTTACACTCACAGTGTGAACATGTAATGAATGAGAAGGAGAAGAGACGCACCAACAATAGCCTGGAGGTACGCTTTTACTCCGTCTCGCTCCTGTGCGTTTCAGAAGAGAAGCCACTAGAGGCCGCTCTCACGCCTGGTATTCCCTCTGCTCAACTGGGTATTCCTTGTGTTGCTTTTAAACCAAACAATGTCCATCAACAAGTAAACATCATCTACAGGGCTGGAAATCATTTACTGATGATGTGAGTAAAGAGACTTCTGTTTTAACACTAGAATTGTGCGTGTGTATGGGTGTGTGGGTGTGTGGGTGTGTGGTCTTTAAGTTGTTGTGGAAGTGTTCTGCCTCCCAAAACAGTACATCTGCTGTGTGTTTAGCCTAATTTCTTTCCGCGGTGATTGTTCAAAAGCGGTTTTGTTTTGAGCGCTCTGTGATTTAGAAAAGGAAGCGTTATCTTGAAGATAGCCAGGTCTGTCCCGTTCTGAGCTGCATTTCCCTCCCTCCCCCCTCAAAAACGACTTTGAATTCCTCACGCTGGCCTCCCAGTCCCCTCAAACAACTGGCCGGGCCAGCTGTCCATAACAGCTGCTTGATATCTGGTTCTGGCTCCTGTCTGCATCTGGCCAACGTTCCTCCGTGACCCCCTGTTCATCTGCAGGGCAAATCTTTCTGCTTCTAAAATTGGTCTCGATGCTATTTTTGATACCATTTCGGCTTGTGCACCTAATCTAGCGTGTGTGCGTACTTTTCTTTCCTTTTTTTTATTTTTGATGTTCGGGATTGAACCCTGCCGTTACCTTTTAGCTCACAACTCTGGTATTTGTCCTCATTGTCACAAAATTCATCCCACATGTCTTCTGAGCTTTAATAGCCTGGTCTGAGAACGCATTTATCTGCTGCTCTGATAATACACAGCATTTTTTCCAGATGTTTCATCCTGGCTTGTAGTTTGAAGGAAGATGATGCCTTCTCGTTTGTATCGGAAACGGAAAGTTGGGGAAGAGGTTGGAAAAAGTTAGTAAATCGTGCGCTGATTTCTAAAGAGTAATGCATCAAATCAAATTTAGCTTTTTGTCATTTTCTTTGAACAATAAAACAGTGCTTTGTTTCTGAGATTTGTTACCGATTAGTGTGAACAATCCTGCAAATTAGACATTTTAATTATAATGGCAAAGTAAATGGTAAAGCATGACATCGCTCCGGTAAGGTAAGGTCGTTTTATCTGTAAAATGACTTTACCTTACCTGTGCTGTATAATTATAGCACATTTTCAGCAACAAGGCATTTCAGAGTGCTTTACATGAATTAGAAGGAAATACAAACAAAACAATAAACCAAAGGAAAGAACAAAAACAGAAAAAAAACCCACAAAAAAGATGGTAGATGGTGCTAAATGTTGATGTTGATCTAAAGTATATAAACTAAATGCTCAGAATTAGACAGAATAGATCTGCCCTTATGGACTGGGGACCCGATCTATAATTTCTTTTCAACATTGGGACCAGTACAGATATTACTATCGGATCGGTGCATCTCTACGTAAGAAGTTGAAAGTTGTTCACTGACCAAATGACCGATGGATAGAAGCAACTTTGTAAATACAACCTTGAACTTGACCTGGAAATAATGAATAATTGTTTTTTGGGGTCTATTTTTGTATCATGTGCATCATCTTTTGGTTATGTCATGCATGACCGTAAAATGGTTGAAGGAAGGTTCATTTTCACGTGCAGACCAACAATCTAGCGGAGGTTAACCCCGTCGTGTTTTTTTTTTTTTTTTTTTTCCTTACTCTACGTTTCCACACTCCGGAGTCACGGTGGACGGATGGAGCTGTCGAAAAGCAGCGTACCTCTCGTTCCGTCGTTGACGTCTTAGTTGTTGGTTTTGTAATTTATCCTGGCCCGCTCTCGGCGGCACAGGGGTTAATCGTGTTGGGACTCGGGTGCCACAAGGAGCATGACCGCACACTTGGTGGTGTCTATAATTCAAACTTTCTTTGATGTGGAGCCAGAGGACGAAGACACCGTTGGATCCCGCGGACCCCTGTGGCACCAGCATTACTAATCTCTGTCTGTCTTTGTGGAGACAAGAAACTGCTACAAAGCGTGGATTTGTGCCGTCCGGTGCTGACAGCTTGGCTGGACGGATTGTCGTACTGGGAAGGGATGGCGGGGGGAGACTGTCTCTGGACCTCGGGAGACAAAGCCCCTCGCTATCAAGCCTGTCGAGTTAGACTTATAGGAGACAAATATTTTTGCTTTCATTAGGATGAAATGCTATCCAGGATTTAAATTTCAAAGTTTCAGTCTTGGCCTGAGAACAGCAGACTAGCCTCTTTGTCAAGAGCATAACAATCTGTATTAGCCAGAAAAATATGCAATATATTTCTTCTTAGAGATCAGAAATGTAAGAATGCCAGTAAGTAGACAGTGTACCAAACAACAATGAAGAAAATCCTCCCATTGCCTTGTCGCTAACTTCTTTTTAAATAGCCTCCCTTTGTGCCCTGTGTGATGTTATGGCAATATTATTATTATGGATTCAAAAGATATTTGATTAAGTAATTCTGCTTTTTTTTGTTCTCCCAAATATCCTTCCCTGATTTATTTTTACACCTATTTCAGTAAACAAAATGGGTATTTACTGAAATCCAGCATAACTAGCTAAAGTTGTGCTTGCAAAACTAGCTAACTTTGGCCTCTTTTTTATAGTTTAAACTGCCTGTTGCTGAATTGTGTCATACAAATAAACTTGATTTGACTTTTTTGTCCTGTTTTTACCAGTAAATTCAGATTTTCGTTTTGACCTCGGCTCCTTTTTTATAGACTGCAGCTTTCTGCCTGTATCTTGACTAATCCTAGATGACACCAGGCTAACCTAAGCAGACAGAGTCATGGATCCTACCCCAGAGCATCCGTCACATCAGCCCCTAACTCAACGTTTTTATGGTGCTCGTAATGGAAAGCAGGCAGACTGATAGGCTTTTTTTTTTCCATCCAGTCTCTGGGCTTGAGATTAAAGAAATCGATTGGTGCTCCCTGAATTCCAGATGTGAAATATTACTGGCTCTGGACTCTGCGCCTTTTTTTTTTTTTTTTTGATTTCCAGAGGGCCCCATGAGGGAAGAAGTGCTCTGAAAAACGCACCACCACTTATCTGCGTTTTACATCGGCCCCGGCGAAGAACTGTGCCGTATCACTGCTGGCACCACAGCTGTCACTGTTCATATGTGAGATATACTGACAGAAACCAAAAAGGAACAGGTGTTGCGTATTAGTGCCACTGCTTTCCTCTGCCCCCCTCTGGCAAAGGGGAGGTGTAAAAAATAAAAAAGAGTTGTGGTCAATAGAGTTGTCAGAATGGATCATTGTAATATATGTCTTTTTTTTTTTTTCTTTGCCCTGAAGAGAAATAACGGGCACAGAAAGAGAAGTGGGGTTATGTGGTGGTGGGGGGATAATGTAGATAATGCAGTTCAGGTGGAATAAGCCAAGAGGCAGATCGGAAACATGGGAATCTCTTTGAACGTTGACATTTTCTATCCTGTTGTCTCTTCTCTGTAAGTTCTGCTGGACTTTAGTATTTCTGTGAATATCAACCACAGATGGAAACTTGGAACTGATTTTGACATTCTTGTTTTCTTGACGCAAAAGATGAGCCGCAGTCATTGTTTTGAGTTTTTCCTTGACATAGACAGTCTTTTCTCTTTATTGCAATGCTCAACATTTCAATATAAAACTGAAACTGTAATTGAAACAACATTCTTGCGGTTTTCAATCTTCTCTGCCAGTAGCTTAACCAGACATGCAACCCTATTAATGAGTTAATCTTAAAGTTGATTGATCTTATCTATTCATTCATAAACTATTTTCTTAAAATTCTGAGTTTTCCCTTGAATCAAGAGGGTTGAGTGTCTTTCCACAACATAAATTTCAAAAGTTTTTATATGCTGAATTAAAAAAACATAATTAAATATAAACACTTTTTTGTCAGCTGTATTAAATACTGTCATGAACAGAGAAATATTCATACAGGACTGTCTGTGGTTGCTGCTGAAGGAATACTAAAACTTCGCTCCAAGGTTGTTGATTATTTATATTTCAAAACAGAACCGGATGTATTTTGCATCCCACACTGGACTTTGTTTGTATCGTTCCACTTTTCAGTTCTGGTATGGTTCTGCCATCTTTATTTCTGTATCAACTGGCTTCACTTAATGATGATCAGCAGCGCCTGCTGCAGGATGGCAACCAAACTACAACCCTAAAAGAAGGTCTAAGTAGATGTTTTTTTTATTATTATTATTTAGAATGGTTATCTTAATTCGTTCACATGATACCCCTAAATCAAGCCAGATGCAGCTATGATGATCAATAGAGAAGACGAATTAAAGGATGAATCGGATTAATTGTGATGAATCAATTATTGAAATAATCAGCTTTAGTAATCGATTAATTGTTAACTGGAGTTTACAGACTCAGAAAAGGCCATCTGCTGATGAAACAACATATTCATAGCATATATGTATATATATAATTTTTTTTTTTTTTAGGCATACGTTGACATAAAACTTCTGTTTGATAAGGTCAAACAGAAGACATTTTCTTATATTCACTTGATTCAAATTCACTAAAAGAATGCTATGTTATTGCAAATGGGCAACAAAATGTTTCATTTCTTGTTTAAGGGAATTTAATAGATTTTTTTATTTGCATCTTTTAATGTATTTACAATATTGTATAAAAAGTCATAAGTGATTACGTGAAAAACCTATAGAATGTGCCAATTCTTTTATCGGATTAATCATCAGAATACTTGGTAACTAAAATAATCTTTAGTTGCTGCTCTAATGACAACAGACTTTCCATTCATAGATCTGCACTGTTTTGTGTTGCTCTTTCTATTTTTACCAACTAAAACACATAAAAGTTCACGTCAGTGATGAATGCTGCTATAACCGTGTCCTTGCATTGTTTGTAGTTGTTGTTTTTTTTGTACATTAGCGATGTTAAGAAGGTGCGTTGCGTCACTGCATCTGTCCTTGGTTGGGCGGCTCTTCAAAACAAATCCCCAGAGTCAGTGCTGGTTCTCCCCCGTGGAGCGCAGCCTCATTAGGGTTTGTTGCCCAAACTGGAGAATTCATTCTGGCTGAAGGAACAGCTCAGTACTCTCTCCCAGAGACACATGTTTCTAACTGAGGCCTGACCCTGCAGCTTTGGGCCTTGTCAAATCAGATTTGGC